GTTGTGAGTGCCTATTGTGATAGCTATTTATTTGAAATCTCACATATAAGTCCTTTTGTTGCTATGTGATAGAATTTAAGAATATGTTGCCGTAAATAATCTTGATACCACAAAAATAGTTCAATATATATAATTTTTCTAGGATTTTCATCTTATCAAGTTATTAAACATATATTAAATATGTCTTTTTCTTAATTCATCAATCTTAGATCACTAGAGTTGCAGAGATTAAAGAAATCTTAGGAATCCTCTATTCGAATGCATCTCCTCTATAGTCATTAAAACTAACTGAGAGTATAGAATCCAAGATGAATGACTCCCAGCCCATATACATCTTTAAACTTTTTGTTATTGTTTTTAAACAGCAAGATACAGTAATTTGGCACTTAAATGTTGATGTTTCTTTATGCATCCCTTTTTCCAAGGGGGTAAGAATTTCCATGAGGATATGAGTCCATAAAATATTTGCTTGCATCCGAGGGCAGCATTATCCATCTCTAGAGGACCAGTGTTATCCTAGATGACCAATTTTTGTCAGTCCAGCACACTCATTAACACACAGACAGCATTACAATGAAGCTTAATAATTTGATCACTGTCAAATCTGGGTAGTCTGCAGCATTTGGATGAGATCTACAGTTCTCATACTGTAGTTAATTATCTTACATTGTGGGTTATAAAATATTCTCTTTGCTTTACCATAAACTATTCCAACAGTGTAAGAATAATAATATACATCTATATAATTATATCTAGATCTACATCTATATCTAGCTGTTCGGTACCACTGAACATTGAAACAAAGTAGAGAAAGGAGAGAGGTACACCCAGTACTAAGTGTATATGCCTCTCTTGGAGTCAAATATCCTTGCACCTTATAGGTAAGATTGTGGCCAACAGAAATAGTATAAAAAACTGTCCTCCCATCCCCAAATAGGCAAATGTAATTCTAACATGAGAAGAATGAGAAACAGATAATTTAAATGAGTAATCAAAACATTTTGTTATGTATGTGTTTAACATATTCTATATAATAATATATTTCACAATAAATAAGACAGAAATACAGCCATTACATACAAAAATGCAATGCAATGCAAATCTCTTTTTATTTTAGTTTTTATTTAAAGTTCTGAAAAATGTTGACATTTAAAATGTTTGTTATTAATAAGAAGCTTCTGCTGACTGTAGGGTATTATCTTAGTTTCCCAAGCTTGAATCAGAGTTCATGGTCTGGCATTTACCTAAATCATCCTAGTCATTCTGGTTTATTTTTATTATGCATTGTTATGATTTTTCTCTGTGATGACAGAGGCAGTTCTAAATACAAAGAAATCTACTGCAGCATTCTCTTCCCCTGACACAGCCAAAGGCCTTTTTTTTTTGAGGGATTTGGATGATTCTGCGAGTCTTGGTAAATTAACATTTTCATGGTGGCAAAGCCCTTTTGAATCAGATAGTATCTAGAATGTAGAAACTAGAAAATATATAATTCAAAACTGCCATATTCAGTACTTCTTTGTTCTCTGATCATTTTTCCCCAAGGAAATATCAAGTAATAATGATTGTCAAATACAGTATATCTGTCATAGTTTCTGGGATACAAATTTGGTAAAAATTGAGGCATATTAAACAGTGTTACATCTAAAAACTAAATGTAACTAATGATCATGAACTTAATGAGGAAATGCAAAGCATGCATTGGACAAACTATTAAAGGCAGACATTATGGAAAGATCTGTAACTGTATAATCATTTTCTGTAAATCTCATTTAGATTCTCAGAGATCCTGGTCAAAGCTAAAATATTAGTTTTTATTTTATGACTTCCTGAAAATATTACATCAGCATTTTAAAAATAATTTGAAACACGGTTATCTGAAAAAATATCAAGACTCACAAATGGCTGAAATCAGGAAAAAAAATTGACCAAATACTTCACACCTCCATTTTCTATGTCCTTCTTCAGGTAACTTTCTATTGTTCACTCATGGGGAACAGTGTAATGGACCAATACCCTCACTATGGGTTTGGCCAGTGGGGTTTTAGTAGATATGTTCCAGGCTGAGGAGCAACTGGGCTCTCTTTTTCCCTCCAGTTACTTGGCAACTGAGCTCACAGTAGTCTTCCCTGCTGGTCTCCACAGAAGACAAAGGCCTTGTGGTGCACAAGTATAGACCAGCCAAGCCCAAGGAACGGGAGCAAGCCCAGTCAAGATTAGCAGAAATACTTAGGAATATTCGTTCACCTAGTATCATATTCTGCTTCAGTTTATAATTTTATCTGTGATAGATACAACTATCTCAGGTATAACTGGCAGTAATGTAGATGACAATGCTGCATATATTATTCATATAGTAGGGAAGTACAAATAACTCTTAGTGACAGAATCAGAATTAAAAATATCTCAATTATGAGAAGTTAACTGAGGGACAAATGTTTTTCTTAAGTGAAGGAACCAGGTTTGCTGGCAAGACAGAAGAAAATATTTTCACAAAATGTAAGCAAAAGAATGATATTGAAATGAAACTTGGAGGAAAATAGAAGCTAAACCATGATGTGCTCTGTACCTCAGGTTAGCATTTAGCATTTACCTGGAGAACAGTAAGTAGCAAATAGCTTTAACCTTTGTCTAGACTAGATCAATCCAGAGTAATCATTACATGTTAAATTGAATACCTTATATCCACTTAGAAGAGTGATCTAGGATAACTGGTTTGAAATGAGAGGGAGAAAGTAGACATTGATTTAACTGGAGACAAGGTGGGGTTAGGTACAAAAAATTGTACAACCGGATTGATCTTTCTGGTATAACTTTTATTTTGTGACTTTCAGAAAATCATTGAATAGCTGTCTTAGTTTCTTGACTGCAAAACAGCGATAATAATGTCTCTATGATGGTTTGTGACATACCAAGAGTTTAATGGTGCCCTGCCCCTACAATTATAAAGTTGAGGACAATATATATATGTTCTCCCACATTTAGAGAAATGTAAGTCAGCACCCTCTGCTTAAATCAAGTGAGTGCGGCACAAAGAAAACCAATGGCAGCAATTTTTAGATGTCTTGCTGTACATTCCATTGCCCCGTTTACTGCTGCTATCAGAGAAGAAGGCTACAAAATACAGTTGACCCTTGAACACGGGTTTGAATTGCATGAGTTCACTTGCATGCAAATCTTCTTCCATGCTTTCTGTAAATATATACTTTCTTTCTTACAATTTTGAACATTTTTCTTTTTTTTGTAGCTTACTTTAAAACTATAGTATATAATACATATACTATACAAAATATGTGTTGTTTATGTTATTCGTAAGGCTTCCAGTCAACAGTACACTATTTGTATTTCAGTTTTGGGTGGTCGAAGAGTTCTATGCAGATTTTCTACCGTGTGGGGTTTGGCCCTCATAAGCCTGCCTTGCTTACATGTCAACTGCAATCTTTGGGAAAGCTGAAACATGACCCTCGCTTCTCACCTGGGGAGATTTGAAGAAGGCGTGTTGGCTGAGACAGCCTGAAGTAGTATCCCAAACAGGGACACTGGCAGAGCCTCCAACAATAATGTGTTTCCATCAGGTTTAGTAGAGATGTACACAGTGCATTGAAAGACTGTAGAGTGCGCATGCAAGTGAGAGGAACTAGGGTAAGTCAGGCAGAGTACATAATTTCTAATGACCTTGAGATGAGGAGGACCTCACCAAGTGTTTTTGAAAGAGCTCAGACATGAATCTCACTAGAGAACAATGTTTGAGTTACTGCCTGACAGGAGGCATCAACAGCCCAACATTAGAAAAACATCCTTGCTTCCTTCTTCCTGTCCCTCCATCCAGGAAGATCCTGCAAAGTCCAGACACAGACTTTGGCAGAAGAGGAAGAGGAATGAAAATCTGATCGTTGTTCCCCACCACCTCAGTACTTCGGGTGAGACTAGCCCTGTGGTTGTGGAAAACGCTTTGAAATAGAGATGGTATTGACTTTCATTAAACTAGACTTGAATTTTTATACCTGAAATGATTCTTAATTACTGGCATGGGACTGTTGTTTCAACAACATGAGGGTGGAAAAATATAGTACCTGTCTAAGAACACCAGAATACATCAGAGAGGGAGATTTGACAAAGTCTGGATGGAAGAAATAATTAGAGAAAAATATATTTTAAAGCAGGCTATTGAGGTGAGACTTCAATATACTGATAAGGGAGTAATAAGGTTTTAGTTGATAAAGTTTTTATGGTAGTGTATGGCTCAACATGTCATCTGCTTTTATAATTATTGCTGTTATTTGACAGAAAATATATCAAATTTGAATGTGATTCAAAATGGAAAGTAGTGTATAAAAATTACAAAAGCAAAGACCAAGAAGTCATGTTAGAAGTTACATAATAAACATTCTGAATTTGAAAATTCTTTCACAGTTCCTTGAATTCTAGGATTCTGTTATTCTACATATGAATTATTTTTTCATGTGGGGAAAATAATCAGTTTTCCCCCACATTAAATGAACAATATAAGTCTTCATACATTTTTAATTTAAAAAATATAGACTGTTCCTTTTTATAATCCACTATTAACAGCATCCACTATTAAGTGGATATTAAGTCAATATCACTCATTCTTTTGGACTGGAGTATTCTTTTGGACTAGTTCCCTCTGTCATAGGTAAATTTAAAAAAAATAACTTGCCTGTCACTACTCATTCTTTGATGGTTCTTTCTTTATCTTTGAAAATGACACTGACATAAAATTAGCGGAGCATCACTACAATACAGCTAGAACTGTCTGGCAAGGGACTGAATTTTTATACAACAGTAACTTACTTTACACTAACTTGTGAGCTTCTGCATAAGGACTATTTTAACAACAAAACATGCCAACATGTGAACAAAGTATTTCATTTTTTAAAGCAACTGTCATGTTGAAAAATGGAAATTATTGTAAGTCTCCTGACACAGAGAGCAAAGCATTTCATTCCCAATCGAAAGAGTGAAAGCGCCACACTTACATCCTGGTTGGTCATCTCCCAGTAGGGCCTCTCTCCATAAGACACGACCTCCCACATCACGATCCCATAGCTCCACACATCACTAGCAGAGGTAAACTTTCGGAAAGCTATAGCTTCTGGGGCAGTCCATCTGATTGGAATTTTGCCTCCCTGAAATTGAAGAAGGATAACAAATTCTCACACACTTCAAATGTATCTAGGGATATTGATGTCTCACTGAAGATCTTGATCTGGAAAGAGATGTAACATTTTAAAGTGGATCTGTTTACCATCAGGCAGTCTCTTTTCACACATCAGTCCATAAGCACTGGTAGGCTGACTACTAATTGGCTCTCTGGAAGGATTCTGGTTTAAATTCTGTTTGACTGCTGGAGTACATACAGGGCCCACATCTCAATTATAGCATCAGGAGGGCAGCTCTTAGCAGGGAAAGTGAGCAGTCAAGCAAATCAATACGGCAACTTTCAGAACTTTCAACCAGACAGTAAAAGACTCGAGTTCCTCAGGTGTTTTTTTTTTCCTTAATATAAGAATTATAAGTGGAATGTCTCAGTTGCTGTATGCAACTCTGAGAAGTTTAGGAGTTAATAAGACAAGTATAAAAATCAGATATGTTACACAGTTATATTTTTCCCTGATATCAGGTAATTTTTTTAGACTTGATTTCTCTTTTCTTCAGAAGGCATGTTTTTTTGTGTGTTTGTTTAGCTGTTTGTTTGTTTTTTTAACCTGAGAAATAGGTTTCTCATTTAATGGAACCACTTAAAAATCATTGCGATTAGATTATGGGGAATAACAACATTATCAAATTTAGGATTTTTTTACATGATAAGGAATTGGTTTGCTAGATTTCTTCTTAGTTTGCAGAATTAACATATATTCCATCCCTTTCAGAACAGATTTTTTTCTCTTAATTTTTAAAAGCATGTAACCCCAAGCAACCAAACATTTTATTAGCAAGAAAAAAAAGAGAAGAAAGTGAGAAAGATGTAGGTTTTGAGTTTTTTCTTATAAAAAGGCTAACATATGCCTTCCTACTTTGCTGGAAGAGAATAATTTATTTCATATACCAGAAAAAAATGAGACTTAAATTGCTCTTTTTGAACCAAAGTTTCAAGATATATGAGAAAATAGTGATTTATGCAATGCTTGAAATTGCTCTCTGAGTTGAAATTAATTGAAATATTCAAACCAAGTTTGAATTATTTGCTGTATAAAAATATGGTAATACCCTTTAGGAGGACTTTCCCCAACCATGCTTTTGTTAATTAAGTATTCAAAGGTAAGATCACACAAATAGGTCCAACTATTTGCTTTGTGGTATTGTCTAATATTATTGTACCTCTTAAAATTATACTTTGTTAATTACTTTAAACCTCATCCTAGAATTTTTCTCTTGAACCTCTGACCATCGTATTTGGTATCAGTATTATGTGAAGTCCCCTTATCTTCTTGGCTCTCAGTATATGCATCTTCCATGAACTGTCACCATAACCCATTTCATAGGAATGATTCTTGATGGCCTCTGGGCCTCTGCTTTCCCTTGTCCTCCAGTATGACACATTGGCACAGATGTTGACAATCTACTGTATGCATTTAACTGAGACGTTAAGTAGTCATACTGGGGATGGAGTGTCTTAAAATCTCAGTCTTATTTAGGCCATGTTTATTAAATGTAACACTAATTCCAGGAGAACTCTTAAATTAGGTTTTATTTGATGCATCTGGAAGGGGACTTGAGATCCTCTCAATTAATTTATTGATTTAATAAGCTGACCATTGAAAGACTTGTTTGCTTAGATAACTTGCTTTTGGCCTTCAGCACAGTACAGTCCCTAAGAATCGGAGATATAAAGCAACAGTGAAGAAGAAAGCCTTACATTAACATTCCATTAACATTTATTTCAAGACTGTCAGTAGAAGTAATTTTTAAAAAGCTGAATTAAATTTAAAACTGTGCAACACATCTGTCATAAAAATAAGAGACAACAAAAGTGTTCTTTTTCATAGAAACCAAGGTAAATAAAATTGTATAGTGAAAAGATGCAATGAAATATTTCTGTCTTCCCAAGAAGTTTAAACCTTGAACTTGATGATATTGTAAAGATTTAGAATTAAACAAATGTAGTTTATCATGAGGGATTCAAACCAAGATGTTCAATGTATAGATTGTCCCAAAAATTTCATTGTGTTAATACAATTTTCCATGGAAAAATGATCAATTCAGGAACCAATTACATTGCTGGAAAAAAGGTGATAATTTATCCTAATTAAATATTAGTTAGTGACCAATTTTCCGAAGATATGGGATTAACAAATTTTAAAGCATGTAAGAAAAGAAATTAGGTATACCTTCAGTAAGTATAAAGGTTTTTACAGAATTACCATGCCATGTGAATCCTTAAAAGGTAAATTTAAATATTTCTGTATTTGTTTTACAAGATATTTTAGTTCAAAGAGCTTAAGCTAACCAATAATGTTATACATGTATATATTTCATATACATTGTATATATGTTTATTGCTTTTACTATGAGATTCTCTCACTTTTTTTACATTTAACATTTTATACAATTTTTATATTGCATATCCACTCTAAATTAAAACTTTTTTTATTTTCAGTATTTTTAGAGGAAATAATTTTTTGACACTCATAAGATAAATGCTTTGTTATCTAAGTTTAATATATATATTTTTATATCTAACAAGGAGCATCATCTGGATTTTTTAATCCCCCAAATTCCTCTATTTCTTTCTCTTATTTCCTAAGTTGGAAGCATCACCCTTTTTGCTACTTCCTTTAAAATCTTTAGAAATTAAATGCCTCTAGTCTAGTGTTTCCAAAATGCATTCTGTTAGATCTTACCCTTGTGGTGTAGGCTGCCTCAGGATCGTCCTCCAGCACCCTGGAAAGCCCAAAGTCAGACACTTTGCACACAAGGTTACTGTTGATTAAGATGTTCCTGGCAGCGAGGTCTCTGTGCACGTAGCCCATGTCAGACAGGTGCTTCATTCCCGCGGCGATGCCCCTCAGCATGCCCACAATCTGAATCACAGTGAATTGCCCATCGTTCTTCTATAAAGATGATGTGGAAATATTAGTCCAGAAAACACAAATCGCTGGGGGAAAATACGAAAGGATCTTCCTTCAATCCCAAATTAATACTATCTCCAAATTCATGCACAATTCTATCTGAGGGAGAATAGAAAAAGATGGGAAATATATAACTAACTTGATAATATTTATCAGTTCTTTGCTTGGTGAAAGCAGATAAAGGCTTTGAAAGCCTTTGTCAAAAATTTCATTTAATTCTAATTCCTTTTTCTCAGTCATCGGAGAAGTGTGCTCATCACTGCAACCTGGTGCCTGCCTAGGGTTAACACTGTATATTTTCAAGGCTCTTTAAAAGAAGCTCAGTGAATTGGTGTATTGTTATAGAGAAGAAATGGCCAGCAGAGAAAAAAGGAGATTCTTCAGCAGCAGAAGGGCAGGGAATGAGTGCATAGTGACCAGGACAATGTTTGCATTTCTCAGAAGCTTGCTGTCTTTCTCAAGGGCACTGAATTTACTGCAGACACAGGATAAGGCTCACCTGATGATTATTTTGAAAACAAAAGGAAGATATAACTTAAGCCACTGGGGAACTAAAAGATATGTATAAGACAACATATTTGCCAATGGTACCTCAGACAAAGGTTTAATCTCCAAAATATACAAAGAACTTACACGACTCCACTCTAAGAAGACAACTAACCCAATTAAAAAATGGGAAAAGGACTTGAACAGACACTTCTCCAAGGAGGACATACAGAAGATCTAGAGACACATGAAGAGATAGATACTCAATATTGCTAGCTATCAGAGAGATGCAAATTAAAACCACAATGAGTTACCACTTTACACCAGTCAGGATGGCTATCCAAAAAAGCAACAAACAACAAATGCTGGAGAGGTTGTGGGGAAAAGGGGACCTTAGTTCACTGTTGATGGGATTGCAGACTGGTACAACCATTATGGAAAACAGTATGGAATTTTCTCAGAAAAATAAAAATCAACCTGCCTTTTGACCCACCAATTCCACTGCTAGGATTATATCCTAAGAACCCTAAAACATCAATTTCAAAGAACCTATGCACCACAATGTTCATAGCAGCACAATTTACAATAATAGCCAAGAGTTGGAAGCAACCTAGGTACCCGTCGGTAAATAAATGGATCAAAAAATTGTGGTACATATACACCATGCAATTCTATGCAGCAGAGAGAAAGAAGGAGCTACTACCCTTTGCAACAACATGGATGGAACTGGAAAGCATTATGCTGAGTGAAATAAGCCAGGTGTTGAAAGACAGATACCATATGACCTCACCTTTAACAGGAAGCTAAACAACAAAACAAACAAGCAAGCAAAATAAAAACAAAGACACTGAAATAGAAAAAAAGGGGACAGCAACCAGAGGGGAGAAGGGAGGGAATTTAAGGAAAAAAAAGAATGGATTTAGAGGAACAAGTATAAAGGACACCGGTACAATAACTAAGTGGGGTGGAAATGGGAGGGAGGTGTGGAGCACTGGGTGGGATGGGCTGGGATGGGAGAAATAGACAGAAAACTGTACTTGAAAAATAACTAAATAAAATTAAAAAAAAGAAATCTGGCAGCAGGAGCTTGCAGATCACTGTCATATTTAATGCACGGGTCCTTCTTATCATTGACATTAATAACATTTGCCATCACCTTTTCTAATCAATACCAATAATTGTTATTGAAGATGAAATCTGCCAGCTTACATGTTTAATCAGGCCTGCAAATATGTTACATTGCCAAGCACAAATTCACTGACTATATAATAAAATGAGTGGCCATCATTTCAAATTTGGAGATGCACACAGTTTTCTGAGACCCACAGACCAGACAGTATAGGATTACTGTTGTCTGTAATGGTACTAGTCACGGGGTGACTGCACTGGTGCAAGCAGAGGATGGGTTCCAAGTCTCTTCAACCCCTTAATGCAGATAATTAATGCAGAACTTTCTGACATTTTTTCTTACTCTGACTGATCTATGTGTATTCCTTGAAAAAGTTAAGCATTTGTAAAAGATTCTTTTTTTAAATTTTTGACACAATTACAGATAAGCTTTTTTTTCTTTTTCCTCCCACCCTCCCTCCCTCCCTCTCTCTTTCTTTTTTCTTTCTTTCTTTCTTTCTTTCTTTCTTTCTTTCTTTCTTTCTTTCTTTCTTTCTTTCTTTCTTTCTTTCTTTCTTTCTTTCTTTCTTTCTTTCTTTCTTTCTTTCTTTCTTTCTTTCTTTCTTTCTTTTTCTCTCTCTCATTCCTTCCTTCCTTCCCTCTTTATTTATCTTCTTTCTTTATTCCTTCCTTTTCCTTATATTTTCAGGAAAATTAATATATAGTTAAATAAAAAACTGAAGATGCATATAATTTGAATTTGTATAAGTTTTCTCAAAAGGAAAAATTTCAAACTGAAGTTAATTTTTTGGAGTATAATAATTTTGATACCAGGTAGTTCTATCTTCTTTAAAATTTAGTTTTAAAGTGGTTCAATTTCAACTTCAATATCATGATCTATATATAAATAACACCTTGAGTAATTAAATTTGTTTCAAATCTTACCTTTAAAAAGGTATCTAAAGAGCCATTTTCCATATACTCTGTCACTATCATCACTGGTTTACCTGAAAAGGAAACAATGAATGAGTTGTTGCTTTTGGACTTAATATTTTTATACAGGGGAAGTATACCTGGATGTTTTTATTAGTGTCCAAATACATCAGTTTATGTTTTTAAAGTTATCTTTGAACAGCAAGTAAATCCTTGACGCTATGATATCTGAGTCAAACAGTAGGGTCAATGAGGTGAAAGTACCACAAGGATAATAACAGATTGACAAAGTCAATTGGCAATATCAAAACCAATTTATGTAGAAAATGAGCTGAAGAACAAACATTATTTTAATAGAGGCCATGACATACTATATCCAGCAAAGTAATATCTAGCAAAGCACTGTAAACATATGAATCTTTTTCACAACTCTCAGTAAAACTCTGATGCAGTCTGTCTTCTTTATGACCCCTTGAACATGTGTTGTATTTTTCTAACTTTATTTCTGTGTTCTCATAACTCCTTACCTTATGGCTGCCTCCCTGCTTCCTCTCGGCCACACAAGTTACAATCTCTATCAATCCAAAGTGTTTTGCCTTTAAAAACACTGTTCTAATGCCTCTTGCTATCTGATATCTTTTTCTGCAATCATCTCTGATGGACGGGGTACTGCTTTTGTGTCTGATATACAAGTATAGCCTAGAGATCAGCAGAACAGACTCTGGAGCCACACCGCTTACTCTGAACCCTGTTATCAGTCACTAGTATGTGATCTTAGACAAATCAAGTATGATTTTTGTGTCTCAGTTTTCTCATCAGTAAAATTAAGACATAAATGATACCTGACTCATAGGATTGTTGTGATTACCCAAGGAAAATGGTTATCCCAAGCACTTATCATAGTGCCTACCACTAGAATTTGCTGTGTATTCTTGTTTTATAAACTTAATCAATTTTGCACCTATGGGTTAACTTCCTTGCTATATATAAGTTGGATAACAGAATAAATACTATTTTATCTACAATAAATTTATGGTACTTTGTATATAACATGTCTATTATACAAGATGAAAAACAAGATAAAACCCTTTATTAAATAAGAAAAAATTAAAACAGTTGTTAGTTTTATCAATTTATATTAACCTCACTATATTTTAAAACAACTTTTTACTCTTTAATAAAAGTATACCACACAAATTTTAAGTGTTATTTTCATCTATTTTGATATTAGTAAAAGGAGAACTTATGACAGGCAAATTATTATCTTCTCATCTATTAATTGTTTCTTATATAAAGAGAAACAAGGCCTATGCAATCACTAAATGCATTATAATTAACCTAATGGCATTTTCCAGAAGGACATCTGTATTGTACTTGAGACATGATTAATTCAAGTCATAATATTAGAACTTGTACATTTATTCATTCACCTTCATCTTAAATTATAAATGGAGATACAAGAAGTAAGACAGTTACATATAAATAAGAAATAACTAGGAAAATGATTTTTTATTCCAAAATCATTTAAAAATCTGTTTAAAATAAGAAGGTAAATTAGTCTTACTCCTCACTCAGATAACCATTTCCTTTTAAAATATTTTAGGGACACTACTCCTTATGAAATTGTGACAAGTTACTATAAAGGCAGACATATTTCTCTCCTCCTTTTTAAAGTTCATAAAAGTTATAAAGAAATTTATCTAAAATAATTTATTTGGCATATGGTTCTAGATGCCTACATTAGGTGAAATAATGCATATGCAGAAAACAGGCATTGGAGATGTCATTCGATGTGAACTTTAAGGCTGACAGTGTCGCTGGTGTAATAAAAGGGGATGGATATTCTAGAAAGAAGAGGCTACATGTACTGAGGGATCTCATCATGACAGAGCCTATCAAGTTAAAATATAGCCATATATTTGATATTTTTGAAGAGCTCTGGATTTTTCTTTGTAAATCACAAAGTGGCAGGAGATGAGTGGGGGAATACTGATTTTAAAAATGACTGAAAGTACATTGTCTTTGAGAAAAAAAGAAAAGATTCATATTGTATTTGTAAATGGCTCTGACAGCATGGGAGTATAAAAGATTATACATGTTATTTTCTCCCTAGTAGAACTTCAATCTGAGTTCAGGAACAGAGAAATTCTTTCAACTTTATTTTGCCAAACCCATTTTAATGTTTTTCACATAAACTGTGAAATAGATAGAATTCTGCTTTGGGTCCCTTCAGTTACATTCTTACATTTCAGTCTTTTGTTAATGTTGAGGCCCCTTTTCTTTCAAAGTCCTGAGGTAATATATATTCCCTAAAGATAATAGCCAAAATAGCCAAATGCTCTGGCACAGGTGCCTAATGGGACAGAAGTGCTGTACCAGCTGTTGCCCATGCATTTGCCTCATCAGAGGAGTTCAGAACCACCCCTGATGAAGCTGAGTAGGCAGAGAGTAGGGGCACCTGGGTATCCTGGAACTGGCTTTTAAGTAAGCTCTATAGAAACATTTCAATAAATTTGCAGCTCACATAGCCAAAAGGATATTGTACTTGCTGAAAATATCAGCCCTGGTCAAACTAGAAGGAGGTCCACATTTTCTGGAACTAGCTTGGGATTCCAGGAATCGTCGGCTTGATTTCTTCTCTCACTTAGAGATATTGAGTGAGGGAGTTGTCATAATGTAAGAACGGGAAGAACTGAACTCCAGAAGCTACCAGGGATGGAGTTCCTTCATCATCACCTCTCAGCTCAGACCTCGTGAGCAGGTGCCTCAGCCATGAAAGGGAAACCCTAGTCTATGTCTGTCACTATGTACTCTGCCCCACGTCCTTTATGTCTGTGGCACTTTCCCTATAGTTCTACTTAACAAAATTTTGTTCCTTCTCTCTTTTTCTACAATTTTTTCTGCTTACCCTCTAATTTTTTATACTCTCTTTTTATTTTTATGGGTCAGTGGTAAAACTTTACTACTGCTCACTCATGGTCTACTGAGCAAAAATTAGATAAAATTCTCATGTTAAAATATCTCTTTTTGAGTATATTTTTCTTTAAATTCCACCCAAATTTACTGAGCTTAGAAGAAAAATTTGTACTCTGAAAAGAATAGACTGATCAGAAAACTTATTGACATTTGTCAATGTCAGAGTTTGACATTTGTAATGTAGAGTTTGGAAAAATGATTCGTTTTTAAGGATATTGGCACCTGATATTCATCCTGTAAAATTTTATAGCTAGAATCACCTAGTTTGAAAATTTGGGTTAATTATTTATGACAGGTAGGGTATAATGTCAATAACAAAAATGTTATTTGAGAAATATGATAGGGACTTAGAACACCTCTCATACTTCAGAAAATGAGGGGGACAACAAAATGAATGATTGAAAACAAGCACAATATTTTTTTTGTTGACAAGAATAAGACACTTCAGGATCCATTTGATTATGTTTCATGCTTGAGCCATTTTAATGCTAATTATATTTAGTTTGGCTTGTGTTTTGTCTCTGTTTCTGCTAGCTTGCAAGAATGACATAGCAATAATTAATGTGGCTTACTCTAGCCCTTGTAAATTCAATATAACTGTGCAAATCATTTTCCATTATCCAGCGTGAAGTACAGACAAAGGGTAGATCTGACAATAATTCTGAAAGCATATTATCAAAAATCTATATAAAGAGAGCTCATAAAGCATGCCAAAACATGATTTTAATCATGGACTAGAGCTTTTATATTACTGTATATTATTTACTGAAAACTAAGCTCAGGCAGAGTCTAAGTAGTAATAGAAACACATTATGTGTGGAATTCACATTCATTGTTGACAATCACAAAGAGCTACAATTTATTGATTATTATCTCTTTTTTATAAGGCATGATGTTACTTTTTAAAAGATTTTATTTATTTATAGTAAAACAGGGAAAGGAGGGAAAATGAGAGAGAAACATCAATGTGTGGTTACCTCTCACACACCCCTTACTGGGTACCTGGCCCACAACCCAGGCATGTGTCCTGACTGAGAAACGAACCAGCAACCTTTGGTTCACAGGCCCATCCATATTCAATCCACTGAGACACACCAGCCAGGGTCCATGATATTATTTTTAATTGTTATTAAACCTTTATAAAGATGATATTACGAAAGACATTTTTTCAGAGAAATAAAAAGTGAAATTTACAAAGAATAAATATGTTATTTTAGCTGATCAGAACAACTTGTATAAGAAGCAAATTGTGAATCGAGTTCATGTTCATCTGACTCCAAAAGCGTTTTTTACTTCTTCCATACTGTGATCTCAATAATTTCAAAATTTTATTTTAATTAAAAGTTTATTTGTAACTCTTACAAATATTTATTTTTCGTATCAACCCAAGCCTAATAATCATAATTATGCATGCCAAACTATTCAATGACTGATGGAAGATCTGGTAGAAACTTGGCTTCTTTCAGTAAATAATATGTTCTTACAACTGATCATTACTTATATCTGCTCTGAGTGTTCTGGTGTGTTCTATAGTGAATGGTCTTGGAGTCTACTTATATGAGGTATTCATAGTAGTCAGAGCCATAGAAGCAGAAAGTAAAAATGTGGTTGCAAGAGACTGGGCTGAAGAAGAAAGGAAGACTTGCTTCTCAATGACTATAGAATTTCAGTTATGCATATGAAAAAAGTTCTAGAGATTATTACACAACATTGGGCTTATAAGTAATACTATAGTGAACACTTAAAAATTTAACAGGTAGATTTTATATTTGGTTTTCTTTTCTACCACATTAAAAAAAAACAGTTTGGTTTGCTACTACATGATTTTTGGTGCCAATTTTTATCACAAATCCAAGAGGCAGGAGAGAGCCATTTTTGGAAATTTAATACTTTTCCATAAGATCTCAGAGTTAGGAGAAACCAACTTCCAGGAATGTTAATCTAGCTCTCTCTTCAGAGTGTGGTCCCTGACAAGTAGCATATGTGTCATCCAGGGGTTGTTAGAAATGCCAGATTTCAGTGCCTGATCCGATTTATTGAAATAGGTTCTGAAATTTGGAAATATCCTAAGGCACACATTAAATTTTCAGAAACACTG